GTCCTTTTTTTTCTTTTTTCTTTTTTTTTTTTAAGATTCCACATATGAGTGATATCATATGGTATTTGTCTTTCTCTTTCTGGCTTACTTCACTTAGAATGACCATCTGTATGTCCATCCATGTTGCTGCAAATGGCATTATTTTATCCTTTTTTTAATGTCTGAGTAGTATTCTATTGTATAAATATACCACAACTTTTTTATACAATCATCTGTCCATGGACATTTAGGTTCCTTCCGTGTTTTGGCTATTGTAAATAGTGCTGCTATGAACATTGGGGTTCGTGTATCTTTTCGAATTAAAGTTCCCTCCAGATATATACCCAGAAGTGGAATTGCTGCATCATATGGTAAGTCTGTTTTTAGTTTTTTGAGGAATCTCCATACTGGTTTCCATAACCAAATTGCATTCCCACCAGCAGTGTAGGAGGGTCCCCTTTTCTCAATGCCCTCTCCAGCATTTATCGCTCGTGGCCTTTTGAATGATTTGGCCTATTAATTCTTTACTGCCTTGTTAGCTTTACCATGATTTTAAGAAGGAAGATAATTCTATTTCACCCAGCATTTTAATTTGTTTTTAGTGTGAGGATAACCAGCCATGCTGAAGAAAACAGAAGTCTGTTTAGCTTTTTCAGCACAACTTTTTATTTTCATTGGAATTAATGTCTTTTCCCCCCTTAACTCTCTACATACTTATAACTAGTATATCCCCAAGCTCTCCTCTGGTTAATCAAATCTGTTCTCAATACATTCAGATGCATTAGGTATTCTATCAATTTTATTTCCTAAAGAAATCACTCCCAAGCCCTTCTGAACTGCTCTCGTCTTGATGAATTGATCTTTAGTCCCGCCCTACAACTTGGGACCTCCCTTCAGCATTGCCCTGGGGATTCCGTTTGTTTCTCTTTTGTGCTGGATACCTATTTTTTGCATTTCATACCTTTCTCTCTTTTGACTAACTTATTTGTCTTGGTATAACAAATCCTCTCCTATCTTTCTGAAAAACAATGCATGGAATATCCGTATTTTGAGAACTTTCATATCTGAAATTATCTTTATTCTGGACTAATAATTAAGTCATAGTTTGGCTGTGCGTAGAATTCTAGGTTGGAAATAATTTTCTTCAAAATTTTGAAGCCAACCTATGGAATAAGAGAAAATATTTGCAAATGATGCTACTGACAACGGCTTGATTTCCAGAACATACAAGCAGCTCATACAACTCAAGAACAAAAAAACCAAAAAACCTAATCAAAAAGTGGGCAGAAGACCTAAACAAACATTTCTCCAATGAAGAAATACAAATGGTCAATAGGCACATGAAAAACTGCTCAATATCACAAATTATCAGAGAAATGCAAATCAAAACTACAATGATGTATCACCTCACCTGGATCAGAATAGCCTTCATTAAAATGTCCACAAATGATAAAAGCTGGAGAGGGTGTGGAGAAAAGGGACCCCTCCTACACTGTTGGTGGGAATGTAATTTGGTGCAGCCATTATGGAAAACAGTATGGAGATTCCTTAAAAAACTAAAAACAGACTTACCATATGATCCAGCAATTCCCCTCCTGGGCATATGTCCGGAGGAAACTCTAATTTGAAAAAATCCTTGCCCCCCAATGTTCATAGCAGCACTATATACAATAGCCAAGACATGGAAACAGCCTAAATGTCCACTGACAGATGACTGGATAAAGAAGTTGCGGTATATATACACAATGGAACACTCTTCAGTCATAAAAAAAAAAGAATAAAATAATGCCATTTGCAGCAACATGGATGGAACTGGAAATTGTCATACTAAGTGAAGTAAGCCAGAAAGAGAAAGACAAATACCATATGATATCACTTATATGTGGAATCTAAAATAATGACACAAATGAACTTATTTACAAACCAGAAATAGACTCATAGACATAGAAAACAAACTCATGGTTACCATCGGGGAATGGAGGGAGGGGGTGGAGGGATAAATTGGGAGTTCAGGATTTGTAGATACTAACTTCTATATATAAAATAAACAACAAGGTCCTTCTGTATAGCATAGTGAACTATATTCAATACCTTGTAATAGCCTATAATGAAAAAGAATATGAAAAGGAATATGTATGAAAAAAATTTTGAAGCAATTTCTTTATTGTCTACCTTACGGTGTTGATGGATTGATAAGCCTAATGCTGTTCTGATTTTTGATCCGCGACTGCAACTGGTTCTTTTTCTCTGGAAGCTTTTAGAATTGTTCATCTATGTGCAGTGTTCTGAAATTCTATAATCATGGGTCTTGTGGGCCTGATTTGTTTTGCTATCGGTGTGCCCTTTCTTTCTTTCTATGAATATGCCTTTATTTGGGGGGGGTAGTAATTAGGTTTATTTATTTACTTACTTTTTCTTGGAGGTACTGGGGATTGAACCCATGACCTCATGCATGCTAAACACACACTACACCACTGAGCTATACCCTCCTCCCAGAGGACCCTTTCAATTTGGAGATTCAGTTCTTCATTTCAAAGTAATACTTCAAACTAATTTCCATAATATTTCTTCCCTTCTGAGTCTCTGTTCTTTCCTGGAACTCTCGTTATTCAGATGTTCAACCTTCTGGACTGACCCTTTGCTTTTTATTAATTTTCTCCTAAAGAAGGGCAAATCTGATTTTCAACTTTATCCTCCAGTCTTTCTATTGAATTTTTATTTCTGCTATCATGGTTTTGATTTCCAAGAGCTCTTTTTTTCTTTCCTGAATAATAGTTACTTTTTAAATAGTTTCCTGTTGCTATTTTATGCACACAATATATTTTCTCTTTGAGGATATTAAGGATGGCTTTTTGATTTTATTTTTAAGCTGTTGTTTCTCCCTTGCAATTAGTTTCCTCTAAATTGCTTTTGCTTTTGTTCTTTTTGCTTGTTTTGGTTTCTTCCTTGTATACTAAAGACTTTCCTTAAATGTCTAATGATTTTTGTCTATCTGCTTATATTTTAGAGTGAGGACCGTAAAAAGCTGATTGGAAATATTGTGTGAGGCTGGGGCGCATAGGCCAAGGGCTTAATAGCTCCTACAACGTTGCCGCTGTTGTCTCCTTTCCCTTTCCCTTTGTTCTTACGTGGCCTGGTGGATAATAGGGGCATTCACCACTCTCTCTTGCCAGCCAAGCCCCCAGTCTTTCACTGGAAGCTCCCATTATTTCTTGAGGATAATTTTATTGTAAGATAACTGCAGGATCGTGTAGAAAGGTTATGACACAAATTACCAGACTGCCTTAAAGTTGTATGTACATATGAAAAGAGGAATGCTATTATATAATAATTGTTTGTTTTGCAACAAATATTAAGTAGCTCTTAGGAGTACTGCGTGCACGCACCCATTGGCCTCAACCCTCCTCCTGGCGGCGGCCGGATATAATACAAGAAATGACTTAAAAAGTAATTAGAAGAGATGCGCACAACTACCGGCCGAAAACCGAAGGGAACTGCATAACGAGGCCCAGCGCCTAGACCGCGCCTCTCTGGAACTGGGAGAGGGTGGGAGGGGGTCCAACCTCGCTGCCGATTGGTCGGCCCCTCTGGCCAATCACGAGCAGCGAGTGGTTTTGCTAATCGTTGTGATCTACCTCCTCGTGGGCTTCGGAGCCACGTTGGCAAATGGGAATAGGGTACGTGAAAGAGACAGACATTTAGCCAATGAGACCTTGGGGCGTTAATGGGCGGGGTGAGGCCGCCGCCAGGTTTAGGGCGGAAGAAGTTGTTCTGGTTAGAAGGGGAACGAAAGATGGCGGCGGAAACGCTGCTGTCCAGTCTGCTGGGGCTGCTGCTCCTGGGGCTCCTGCTACCCGCGAGTCTGACCGGCGGTGTCGGCAGCCTGAACCTAGAGGAGCTGAGTGAGATGCGTTATGGGATCGAGATCCTGCCGTTGCCTGTCATGGGAGGGCAGGTGAGGTGGCGTAGAGAGGCAAGGGTCCGGGGCCGAAGGGGAAGGGGGGAAGGCAGAGGAAGAAGAGCAGCTGTGGAGTCTGGCGGGAGCCTAAGGGGAATCGGAAAGAGTAAGCAGGGGTGTTATGAGGACTCCTCAGGATCGCAGACTGAGACCCATTCCCTTGGGGCCAGGGACTGGGAGGGGTGGGGTTTCCCGCTGTCAGCTTCGGGTTCCAGTTCCTGATCGAAACACCCAGACTCCTCCTCCGTGGAGAAGCAGAAGTGCCCTCTCCCCTCACCCACCGAACACAGCTGGAGGACTTCTGGCTCACTCTGTCTTGACTGGGCTCTTCCCTAGAATGTGAAGAGGGATCTCGTTGTTCTCCCTGGTCCCAGCTTCTCTTTGCCTCCCTGCCCCCCGACCCCCACTTCTTTCCCAGAGCCAAGCTTCGGACGTGGTGATTGTCTCCTCTAAGTACAAACAGCGCTATGAATGTCGCCTGCCAGCTGGAGCTATTCACTTCCAGCGTGAAAGGGAGGAGGAGGCACCTGCTTATCAAGGGCCTGGGATCCCTGAATTGTTGAGCCCAATGAAAGATGCCCCCTGCTTGCTGAAGGTGAAAGGGAATGGGCTGGAGGGAATGAGGGTTTGGGAACCACCTTTCTATCTGGGAATCAGAGTGCCTGTGAGTGAGGAGTGGTTGGGAGGACCTGTGGGAGTTAAGAAGGCTGTTGGAGTAGGCATATTGTACAGACAGGAAAGAAGCAAAGAATCTTGTAACCGCTGATGACACTTTGCTGAATGTAGAGGAAGGTTATGATAAGAAATCTCAGAACGAAGGTTAAGCTAAGATTGAGGTGCCTAAAGAGGGTCAGTGTGGGTCAGGAGGGACCCTCCCCTAGAGAAGCCTTTCTGGTCGTCACCCACTCCCCTCTCACACGCTGCACGGTATACTATTTTGTTTTCATCATGGCGCTTTTCGTGATCTGAAATCATCTTATTAACTGAGTCATCAGTTTATTTATTTTTGGTTTGACTCCTAGCACTAGAATGGTAATCCGTGAGGTCAGAGAATTTACCTTGTTCATAGCTGTATCCCCAGTGGCTAGAACAGTCCAAGGAATTCCAATTAATATTTTCAATATTCTATGTTTCCCTGGTCTGAGTGTTTCAGGGATATCATGATTTTGTATCTCTATGGACAACAAAGAAGGATTTATTTAAAAGTCTTTGAAAAAAGAGGAGTGGAAAACCCACAGATGAAAATCAGTTAGGTTGTAGAGGTGTCTCCTCAAGTCACAGAAGGCAAACAGCCCTCCCTCCTCACAGAGAGTCTGGAGGATTGAGTGTGGAAGCCGAGGCTGATGAGAAGCAGATGAGAGGTTGTGGGTCTTGGAGCCAGCGGGGATTTCTGGTTCCAAGAAGAGACATCTGCACTGCACCCCCCCGATTGTTCATTTTCTAATTGTCAGACCAAGGACTGGTGGACATATGAATTCTGTTACGGACGCCACATCCAGCAGTACCACATGGAAGGTGACTCCCATCTACATTTTCCCTATGCCCTCAGCAACCTGTCATGGAAGGTGACCTGCCCCCTGCCCCAAGTCCCCTTCCCTCCTGGCCCTCTGAAAACAGGGTAACGATGCTTCGCTGTACTTTCTCTTGCAGATTCAGAGATCAAAGGTGAAGTCCTCTATCTTGGCTACTACCAATCGGCCTTCGACTGGGACGATGAAACAGCCAAGGTGGCAGAAGTGTGGGATTGGTAGAGAAAGGGGTCCAGGCTGCAGACTGAAAGCCCTGACCAGAAGGGGAGGGTCAGGAGTAGCTCACGTGCTTCTTGGGGCTTGGTGGCCGTTAGAACAAAGTGCTCTCTGTCCTCCTTGCTGTCTTTCTCATGCCCCTCCCTCCTGCCTGATGTCCTCCCTAGGCCTCCAAGCAGCATCGCCTGAAACGCTACCACAGCCAGACCTATGGCAATGGGTCCAAGTGCGACCTCAATGGAAGGCCCCGGGAGGCCGAAGTTAGGGTGAGTCTTGGGAGAGGGAAGTTGACACTCTCCGGTGGTAACTCAGATTCTAAGGGAAGAGGGCAGGGTTGCTTTTATAGTCAAGAGTGTCTCTCCCAGATTCTAAATCCTATGTTTAATACTCATATTTCCAACTTCCCATCACTGCCTGGATTTTCAGAGGCACTTCAGGTCAATATTTCTCAAATCCTCCCGTCTGAACCCAGAGTCACACCTTTTTCCATGTTTCTCCTTTCTGTCACCTAAGCTGGAAACCTGGGTGTCATTATTGACTCTTCCTTCTCCTTCACTTTGTCCTCCTTTCTTCATTTAATGACTCTTCAGTGGGGTGGTGCTGATGTAGTTATTGGGCTCTGGCCTGGGGATACAGTGGTGGGCAGGCATGCAGCCCTACCCTCATGGCCTGCAGTCTGGAGAGGGAGACAGATGTGAAAAGAGTCACAGAAGTGAGCCTGCGATTACAAACAGAGAAATGATATGGAGGAACATAACCTAGTTTTCTCAGAGTAAATAACAAAGCCCATTGATTCTACTTCTGGATTTCTCGTACAACTCTTCCTTCCTTTGTTTGGTACCTTCCTCTCTCATCTCCATCACTGCCAGCAGCCTCTTAAGTGTTCCTGATCTAGTGGTCCTTAACTGAGGTCAGGCAGGCAGATGGATGGGGGGATAAGTTCCTCAGGTGATTCTAATGTGTATTCACAAGCACACACCCCTGCAGAGAACCACACAACACAAGAATTATCTTTCTTTTTTTTATTGATTTATAATCATTTTACAATGTTGTGTCAAATTCCAGTGTAGAGCACAATTTTTCAGTTATACATGAACATATATATATGTTCATTGTCACA